CTGCCTTTTCTGATGAAGGGTCTAGGCCCGAAACGTCAGCCTCTCTGCTCCTATGATGCTGCTTGGCCTGCTGTGTTCATCCAGCCCTGCACCTTGTTGTCTCGGATTCTCCAGCATCTGCAGTTCCTACTATCTCTCTTGAATTCCTATTGGATTTATTATTGACTATCTCATTTATGGCCTGAAGTTACATTTTCCCTTCACAAGCTGAAATACTTTCTCTATGATGACCCTGTCAAAACTTTTCATAATCTTAAAGACTTCTATTATATCACCCTTTTTTTAATCTTTTTTAATGAATAACAATCTGAAATCATTACATCTTTCCTGAAGGGTTTAATTTTCCCATTCCGCTATCATTCTTGCAATGAACTTTTCCCTTTTTATAAATTGGAAATCAGGGCAGTTTACCATACTTCAAATGTGGTCTAACCGAGTTTCTTTGCAATTTTAACATAACTTCTCTGCTTTTCAATTCTATCTCTTTAGAAATTATTGCAACTACATTGTTTAATTTTATGGCTTTATTAATCTAAGCAGGCACTTTGTGTTGCTGTACACCTGGAACACTAGGTCATTCAGCCCCTCAAGCCGGTTCTACTGATCAGTGAGATCATGGCTGATCTGTGGCCTAACTCCACATACCTGCCTTTGGCCCATATCCCTTAATACCTTTGCTTAACAAAATTTTGTCTATCTTGGATTTAAAATTAACAACTAAACTAGCATCCACTATCATTTGTGGAAGAGGGTTCTAAGCATTTACTATCCTTGGGTATAGAAGTGCTTCCCAACAACTCTCCTGAACAATCTGGCCCTAAATTTCAGATTATGTCTCCTAGTTCTAGAACCCCCAAACAGTGGAAACAGTTTATCTACCCTGTCTCTTCCTGTTAATATCTTAAAGACTTCACAAGTTTGGAACTGTAATCCAATTTCTGATTCCTAATCAATTTGTAAATTATGGGTGACCCTATTCCCAACAATGATCCTTCTGGTACACCACTTCCCACCCTTTGTCACTCTTATTAATTTCTTTGTCACCATTGTCTGTTTTCTATTTTGGAAATAGCATGCTATCTATTCAGCTAATTGTCCCCTGACTCCCTACCTTAATCATTGAGGCTACTATATAATACATGTCAAATATATTTTAGAATGTCAAATATATTATATCTATTTTATTACTCTTATCATGGAATCATAGGATTCTTATAGTGCAGAAAGAGGCCTTTCAGCACATCGAGTCTGCACTGATACTCTGAAGAGCATCCCACCCAAACTCAACCCCCCACCCTATCACCATAACCCCACATTTCCCATGGTTAATTCATTTAGCCTGCACATCCCTGGACACTATGGGAAAATCCATCGTGGCCAATCTGCCTAACCTTCATATCTTGGGGCTACAGGAGGAATCCGGAGCACCCGGAGGAAACCACGTAGACATGGGGAGAATGTGCAAACTCCACACAGACAGTCAGACAAAGCTGGAATTGAACCTAGGTCCCTAAACGTGGTGCAGGGGCAGAGCCACCTGGAGGCACATTCACACAAATAGTTACAGCTGGCAGAGCAGGTAGAGTACAAAAATAAGGATGTTATTGAGAACTGCTTTCAAACACTGATAAAAATCTCAACCAGAGTATTTCATATAATTCTTGGCATTGCTTTTAGGATTAGAGACGGGCAAAAAGAATGCACAAGAATTCCAGACATGATAGCGTTGAGTTATAAAGATAGATCCAAGTAACTGGACCACTATTCCTTGGATAAGTGTAAGTTATGAGAAGATTTGCTAGAGTTTTTTCAAAATTAGGATGGAGTAAATAGGGAGAAACTGCTCCCATTGCTGGTAGGTTCAAAAAACATGGTTGGAAGTAATAAGCAAAGGAAGCAATAACGGCATAAGGAAATTTTTGTTTAATGTCACAATGCACTGCCTGAGAGTGTAATGGAGGCAAATTCAACCACAATTTTCACAGCAAATTGGATAATTAAATTGAGAAAATATTGTGGGACTGTGGGGAAGAGCAGGAGAGTGGAATTAGCTGAAATGCTCTTCCAGAGAGCTGGTATGATCACAGTGGGCTGAATAGCCTTCTCCTCTCTGTAACTATCTTATGACTCCATATAAAATAAGGTAGAATTTTGTGGAGGCTTTCACCTGTAACTTCGATGGAAAATTGGCAGAGGCTCCAGGAAATTGACATAAATTATGATGATTTTCTGTGGTTTCTGCCAATTTAGTGGATTTAGGATTGCCAATTTAGGATTGTCCATTTTTGGATTAGGCAGCTGATGTTTGGTCCCAGACTTAAATGTGACAAAACTGGTTTCACATTAAGTCCACTGGGTAAAGAAAGATTACGCCACTGCTAGTGCCACAAGATTGTAGGGCTCTGAATGGGGAAAAGATATGAGGCAACTCTTGTTTAAGGTCAGGGGTCTGGAATTTCAGAGGCTGGACACTTGGGTCACAGTGTAGATTTCTAGAAACCCCAGGATGCCAAGTGAGTTTAAGGCAGGGGATTATGGGGCCTAGACAATGAGACATTGTGTTGGCAAGGGTATAGGCAATTGGAAATCAGTGCAAATATGCGTGATCAGGGTGCTTGCAGAGGAGCTGGTTGTAATCTAAGCATTGGGATAGGGGCCTGGTATTAGAGATGGAGCAATGAACCTGAAATTGAAAGAAACTGTGATAAGGACTGTGCTTAATAGAGGAGGCAGGAAGGATTATACTGCACCACATTCAGGTTAACAAGCATTACGTTGTTCTGGATGATCACCAGGACTTAGGTTCTTAAAGTTCTGCCCACAATGCTGGAATCTGCCTTAATGCAAACCAATCTATAGGACCTCAAGCATAGCTGCACGTGAAAAAGGGTCTCATGAATGTTTCAGCATGGATAGAGATGTTCCTGTTTATCTTCACCCTATATGATGATTAGTATGTTTCCAGCTTGAAGAGAATACACAATTCCTGCCCTTCATTTTGGGTGATAATGCAAGCACCTATTTTACAACTATGTTTTAAAGATCCAACTATGTTAGGTGTAATTTGGATAGAAAATACTTTTGTACTAAACAATGTTAGTATAAGTAATATTTGTGATTTGCAAAAGCATAACAAATCTCTGCTGCTTTTTTCATAAACACGTCAAAACTGACAACTAAAATTATATGTTTTTAGAATGATTTTCTTCATCTAGACTAGTGACAATCTCAAAACAGCTTTTCAATTTCGTTTCCTGTGGGGAGAGATTGATGTGCATGGAATAGGCCTTATACATCTTAATTGAATCTCTGGCAAGTATGGCCCTATAAATTTGCCCTTTATAAGGTCATCCCTAGACTGAACCTTGCCACAGTCCTATTGCTTAACCTCCTGCTGTGCACCTGTTAGTTCTCCTTTTGAGCCATCTTTTAATGCTTGGAGACAAGCTTAATGCACTAACCAGTGATTCACCAGAGAACAAACAGGCTGACAAGTTCTATTAAAGGAGTGGCATATTTTCATTTAAAACCTCATAATTATTAATGGAAAATATAGTAATTTTGAAATATGCAATAGCTTCAAAAAGGCAGAAATGCACAATTGAATGGAGTTAAAAACTTTTTGAGGTAGTACGTCAATCGAATGGAAATGAAAAAGACCAGATGAAATGCCAACGATTACATTACGTGTGAGCTAAATGGTGCATCAACTATGACTTTTAATTTATCATTTCTAAAATTTGGCATGTGGATAAATTGATTAAATGTTTTACAGAATGTTTGTCACCCAAAGCAGATGTCTGTATCTTAGCACATCACTGAGAATGTCATCTCAATTCATCATTTCTGAATATGTATTCATTTACCTTGGCATTTACCAAGCCGTTTTACTTCAATCCATTCCTGTCTCTGGCAGGATGCTTCTTTGACAAGGCAAGGACTATCATACGATTTTCCATTAGATGCACACACCGGGTTGTAGTTGAATCTGCTGCAGTCTATATTGCACACACACCTGATAAAACCAAAAAATGCTCATTGTACCAGTAACTGTATAAACCACTGTACAAAACACATCACATTGAATCTTTACACAGGACATTGCCACAAATTGCACGTGCTCAACAGTAACACCCAGAAAGCGTAACAGTTGGCAGACTTTTAAATTCGAGTATATGCCCTGTAACAGCATTTCTCTTCCGGGCATAATTGATCATCTCATTGTTGATGGAATTATTATGCCTGAAAGATGGAAAATCAATAGCAACAGCACAGTCTCCCATGCTTTATTTAAATCACACGAGATTCTACTAACTCAGTGTATCCTTACCATACACAGATGTTTCTCAGCAGCGACTGAGTTGCAAGTATTCTTTCACTTGCCTGCACTTTAAAAAGTAGTTTTGGGGGCAGATTTAAAAGGAATTACTTCCCCGGCTTTGTCTTAATTTTAAGCTCCAGTTGCATTGTATAAACATTGCAGTATCTCTTCAGCTTTGCCGATTCTATTGCATTCTGCAATACTGCACATTAGATTCTAATGATTCAATTTAATACAACTGAAGCAGTTCGCCTCATAAGCATTGTATTATTTTGCATAATGTCAAAGTATCCACAATTCATTTTCATTGAATTTTCCACAATTCAAGATGTTGATTCTGAAAAACATTGGGATCAGAAAAGGAAGAAAAATGAAGAATAATTTTGTCAAATATTAGAATGGCCTTTATTTGTCACAACACTTAAAACAAGATATGCTGTTTATGCATCATCGCTTTAAAAAATCTGACTTTTTTTGGACAATCACTGTCATAGTTATTAGAGTCTCGTGCATCCAATAGCAAGAGGGTAAAATACGAAAATCAGATCTATTAGTTCAAGTTACAGTAAGGAACATTTTATAAAACATTAATTTCTGAGGATTATCAAAAGAGTAAAATAAAAATGCACTGAAAAAATGAAAAAGTGGTTCTGCCTAAAACATCTAATAATGTTTTGTTTTGCATGATTAATAGGGTTCATTTGATCATTTAGCTCATTCACCTTTTTGCATTTGATGACATGGTCAATCATGCTATCATCCTCCAGTGCTTCTCCTCCATTATCTCATTCTTCCCCATTAACATGCTGCCTCTTCCTGACATTATGTGGTCAGCTTCCAAGCTAATGACACAGAGCTCTACCTCTCCAACACATGTCACAATCCCTCTCCCTTCTGTACAATCAAAGTCTAATCTGAAAGGACACCACGGAAGGGGAGGGGATTCATATATTGAGCTTCAGTGCCCCCACAGCCTAGCTTTCCTTCCCTAAACTCCTCTTTGTTTTCTCTTCTCTCTCTTTTAAGATATTTTTTAAAATCCACATCTTTGGTCATTTTTTTACCGAACCTTTCCAGAGTTTGCTTTGGCTCAGTATTCATTTATTTCCCTTCCATTTTTGTGCCTTAAGATCTTTAAAAGGCTGTTCATGGTACTATTTAGCTTATGCTGTTTTTATTGCTGCTGTAAAATAGATCATCAAATGTTAAAGTCAAAGACGGCTTGGGTGTTAACTAGAAATAAACATGCAATAGGTTGACACCTTGGCATGGTAAATGGTACTGGTATTTGGCTTATTCATCAGATGCTTTAAGATGTACTATTTGTGCATTTATTCAAAAGACTGACAGTATTTTAAATACTGCATACTTTAAATACTGCATACAGTATTGATCAGGGCAAAAAAAAACTGGCACATAGAAAGATTTGAGTTTATTTTTGAATGGATTTGTAAAAGACATATCCTGCTTGACTAATTTAATTGAATTTTCTGATGAAGTAACAGAGAATGCTAATGAAGGGCTTGCAATGCATTTTGTGAAAATGGATTTAAAATAGTGTTTGACAAGGTACTGCATAAAAGGTTAGCTAACAAAATTTAGGCTCACGGGACAGGAAAGCCTGGGTGCAACTGAATTTTAAAAATTGGTTTAAGGCCAAAAAAACAATGATTCATGTGCAGGTAACTTTTTTTTCAGATTGAAGGTTGGTAAATGGCGGTGTTTCCTAAAAGTCAGTTCAAAGACCATGGTTTTGGCACTAGGAATATGTAGCGATGTCAAAAAATTTAGCAAATATAACAAGGAGTGAGGATCAATGGGGTGATACTAAGCATTTGCACCAGGACATACAGATACTAGAGCAACAAGCAGGAAACTAGTAGATTTTGGAATTTAAATACATAGAAGGGTGAGGTGATGGCAGAAGGATTAATCAGAGGCAATACAGACTTCATGGCATAGTTGTAAAAGGTCAGCTGGGATAGAGAAACCGCTTGCTGATGTTGAGAGATAAGTACGTTCAGAGATAAGCTATACAAAAGCCTGGTTCAGCCACATCTGGAGTATAGCTATACAAAAGCCTGGTTCGGCCACATCTGGAGTATTGTGCCCAGTTCTGGTCACCTCACTACAGGAAAGATGTGGAAGCTTTGGAAAACGTGCAGAGGAAATTTACCAGGATGTTGCCTGGAATGGAGGGAAGGTCTTACGAGGAAAGGTTGAGAGAGCTAGGGCTTTTCTCTTTAGAACGACAAAGGATGAGAGGTGACTTGATAGAGGTGTACAAAATGATCAGAGGTATAGATAGAGTAGATAGCCAGAGACTTTTTCCGAGGGCGGAGGTAGCTTTTACGAGGGGACATAGTTTTAAAGTGAAAGGAGGTAGATATCGGGGAGGCGTCAGAGGTAGGTTCTTTACTCAGAGGGTGGTAGGGGCGTGGAATGCATTGCCAGAGAGGGTAGTGGAGTCGGCCTCATTAGGGGCACTTAAGCAGCTATTAGATAGGCATATGGATGATAGTATAAGGTAGCGGTGGAGGTTAGATAGACCTTAGATTTCAGGTAAAAGTTCGGCACAACATCGTGGGCCGAAGGGCCTGTACTGTGCTGTACTGTTCTATGTTCTATGTTCTACGTCAGCAGGGGAGAAAAGCTGAACCCTTATAAAGATCTGGTTAGGCCCCAACCAGAATGCTCAGTCCAATTCTGGTCATCAGATCTTAGGAAAGAGATGACGGTGCTTGAGAAGGTGAAAACAAAGCTTACCAGAATATTTTCTGTGAGAGGAGGGTTTTAGCTACAAGGTTTGGTTAGAAAGGTTTGGCTTTTCTCTTCAGGGTAAAGCAGAACGAAGGGAGTGTTAAAAGAAGAAAAACAAAAATAAGTGCAGATGCTGCAAATCAGAAACAAAAACAGAAATTGCTGGAAAAGCTCAGCTAGTCTGGTAGCATCTGTGGACAGAAATCGCAGTTAACGTTTCGGGTCCATTGACCCTGCCTCGGAACAGGAGTATTAAAAAAGTTGTACAAGATTAAGACAACCTTAGGGAAGGTGCACAAGGAAATCTCTTGCCATTAGTTGATTACAAGGGTTATAGGACACAGAATTAAGGGTTTCGGCAAGAGATTCTGGGCAGAGAAGGAGTGGGGAATGTAAGGAAAAACCTCTTTGCACAGTGAGTGGCATTGACCTGTAACTCACTGCCCACAAGGTGGAAATAAACTTGCAATGCTACGGGGTCTGAATGAGGGGGAGCTGGCAACAGACTCAATGATTGTAAACTGATCACAGATTTTTGGATAAAATGAACTTTAAAGAAAATAGACTAGTTGAACAGACAAGAGAGCTTTGCAGTTTTAGAGGTGATAAAGAAACAGTTGTGTAACTAAGAAGTTGTGTAAGTATTGTGCTTCTGGTATAAGTAGACCAATTTTCAATTTCTCTTAATATATGCTTTCTACTCCAAAGCTAGCAGAAAATGTAGATTCACAGAGGAGTTACTATCTTTTGAATATAGTGAATAAAATTGCAGTTTCTATGAATACAGTCATTGTAAAAGCAGACAGAAACTAAATGAGAAATGGAATGTCCAAAATAATTGTGTCAGAACACTCCAAAAATAATAGAAGTTACAAATCCAATAAAGTAAATTATAGTGGGAAACAGTCCAATCCACTTTTACGATAACAAGTTCCTGAAGGCTAGATGTTCCTTTTCAACAATATTTATTTTATGTGGGTTCACAAAACACATTATCAGGCTGGAGGGCAGGGAGACATGATAAAATAAATATTTATTATTACTTGTATATGTTTTGAATTCTTACCCAATTTCTTGCATGTTATTTTTCTCAAGAATAACCTTCACCCAAAATGGAGCACATTGTAAAATGACACAATTAGGACAAAAAGTTGATTGGCCAATTTCCTGATCCAAGATCAACGTTGGCACAGTTTGCCAATTGGATTGGAAAATCTACGCTTCTATGGGCATTTGAATTTTAATTTTTTTAAACTACTCACATAATGAAAAAGAAGTACCCAATTTAAACTATCCATTGTCTTTATAGAAAGCTGGTATTTTGGGTTCTTGTTGTTCTCCCAGGCAGTAATAACACTGAGATGGTGGCAATCCATTAAGATTGATGAACAGTGACATTAATCATAAGAAGATCCAGCTCAGAGGTATTTAACACCAAAATTCTGATTCTTCTCATGTACTATTGCACACACATATTTTTGTTCGTTTATAAACAGTGGGCATTGCCAACTGGGATGATAAATTGTGGGTGCTGGTGTTTCCCCTGACGATGAGCCCCTTATGCCCACTACATTTTACTCTGTTAAGCACTTTCTCAAAGCATTTTGGTCCTATAGAATGGTGTCGCACTAATTTATGAGGTGATGCAACAACAATACCTTCTGGATTTGAGTTGACCAATGATGTATTTGGGCTCACATAGAAGCAGAATTAGAACAATTCGTCAATATCCTCAATTATTAACCCTCTATTAAACTTAAAGCCACATAAACACAAAGGGAACATTAATTTCCAAGACACCATGATATTTAAATTGGCGCAAGACAAAAGACATACATTTTTGCCAAAATTTACTTTAGTAAATAATTAACAGAAACTTCTGCAGAAAATTGCTATCTCCTTAAGCCACCTTCCTTGACGTTACATTTCTACTG